GAGGAGCAGATGTTCACCAGAAGATATATATGAGAATACTTTAAATCATAAGTTCTGTATTTGAAAATGAGCAACTTTTTCTTGGTTTATTGACCACAAAGATCCTTGCTTGCATTTGAAACATCAAGGGACATTGTTAGAGTGTATTGTTCCAACTCTGTCAGTTCTATCAGCATAAAAAATGAGTTGGCAGGGCTTCGGTGCTTCTCAGGATGCCCATAGGACTTGAAGAGACTTCGTAGGTCATGGAGTGCATCCCAGGCACTGCTTTGTATCCCTTTCATAAAATTTTAATCTGAATTCTAAAAACAAAGTTGTTTTTTTTTTTATAAACTTGCTTCTTCCAGTTGAAAGCTCTTCCAGAATCGAACTTTGCTAATGGTTATAAACTTCAAAATCTCCAGCCAAAATGTCTTCACGGCTGCACATTTGTTCTTGTGCCAGGGTTGTCAGTTTCAGAAGCTCTTCTCTTCCTGCTCCATTCTTGTTTCCTCTCTCTCCATTCACTTACATACATAGATAACAGTCAGCCTTCCTTAATGCTAAATTCACTGAACTTATTTTTTCTAGTGGCCTCTCAGATGAGTGTTCCATTCTCCTCACCAGCATATAGCCCATCTCTTGCAGTTCGAGTTCATGCATGGCCTGTACTGTACATGGTATTCCAAATTAAACCTTGATAAAGGCTTGTAAAGAAACACCAAGGTATCCCTGAGTTTGCTAGGTGTTTATGGTGGTGCACTGTATGCTTGGATCTGCTGTTGTCCTGGTTACATCACCTGAGTCAGTGATCTTGTGAGGTACTAATGTAACTGGAAAGTGTTTTCTTTTCAATAACTGTTTCCCCTTTTGCCTCACAGCTTCTGTGCTTATCCTTGCTTTCTTCATTATCAGTTCCCCTGTAGCAGTGTTAAAAGCTTTACAGAGATCCAAATAGATAAGGACTAATTTATTTCAGATTCCTAAAAAGTTCAAAGGAGGATGTCAGGTATGTCTGGAATGACATCCATGTTTTTTAATCTTGTTTTCCAAGTCTTTACTTACTCTTCCTTTCAAAATTTCTGCATGATAGTGAAATCACATTACAGGCCTCAGCTCACCAGTTTACTTGTATTTTTAATCTTCCCTCTGAGGACTATTTGTTGCTTCTCAGTTATGTTGCATCAGCTTCAATTTCATAGTTGTATGACAAATGCTATTTATTAGACCTAAATTCACATGCTGATTCTTACAGTGTTTTTTCAATAGAGATTATCTGTGTTCTACTGAATGCACTAAACTCCTGGAGTTTTCTTTCCACTCAGTTCTTATTTCTATATCTATGTGATACAGGTAATTCCCATTATCTGCCTTTTACTCTTTTTCAGCATTGTCCTGCTTGTAGAAAACTGATTATTTCTTCACTCATATCTAGAGTATAATTATCACTAATCACTATGACAATAGCTTTTCATTATACCTCCAATTTTTATTTCATTTTTGGCACTGTTAATAATCTTTGCAGGGTCAACATTACCTTGATTTTTTTGGTTTGTTTTTTTTTTTACACTTCCATTTTTTGACCTCCAAGACATAATTTATTTTTTTTAATGTATTTCCATCTATGTTTGATAACTTCTTTCTGTATATATAAGAACCTACTCTGTGTTGGGTATTCTAACCAGAGGATGGTTTGCAATGACCTATTACCTTTGTTGGGTTTTTTTTCTCTTTGGTTGAAACACAAGTCTAAGTATGTTTTTACTTTTTTTCAGTTAGGTTAATGTGGAGGTTGGTGTTATAAGAAAGTATTCTGTATACTCTATCTGGTTGTGAAATATGCAATCATAGAATCATAGAATAGGATTGGAAAGGACCTTAAGATCATCTAGTTCCAACACCCCTGCCACGGGTAGGAACACCTCCCACTAAGCCATGTCACCCAAGGCTCTGTCCAACCTGGCCTTGAACACTGCCAGGGATGGAGCATTCACAGCTTTAAAGGTTATTTTTCTCAGTAAGCAAATGTTCAAAATAAAGCAATACCTTTGAATGTTCTGAGCTGTTCTCATTTCACTAGGAAGGAAGCTAATTCTGGGCCTGAGATGTAACTCAGAAGAAGCAGCAGCCCTTCAGAGGGGCCCAGTGATGTGCTGCTGAAAGGACGTGATTTATTATATTTTTTCATAGCTATACTTAGTTATACACACACTGTAACGGCATAAAAATGCAGTAACAGAACGTACATAGGGTTATTTGAATGTCTGTCCCTTTGCACGTACAACTGTGCCTAGTGCACGTGCATATATAGGTTAGTATTTACGTGCACAGACTGGCACAGAATGCCAAAAGTTTGACCTTAGCATAAGATTTGTAACCGTTTCACTTCGGGCCTTTCTGGTTAAACATCCAGCTGCTGTGGGAGACCCTGTAGCTGAGCATTTGCACAGGTTTTCCACCCCATCCTCTCCCTCACCTTCTCAATACTGAGGGGTGTGTGAAGTACCAGGAAGCACTCTGCTGTCCTCCTGGCAGAGTCCCCTCCTGTGGCATCAGTGCTGGCTCTGGAGATAATGGCGGGGAGGGAAATGTGGGTTTTGTCAAGGTGTGCCAGGGACGTGGGATATGACATGCCCCTCCTTCCTCCAAAAGTTCATTCCAGAGAGAATGGTAATTAACGTGGCAGAGAGGAAAGTGCTACCACAGCAGTTTTCCTGCTTGGAGTAGTTCACAAAGGTTGCATTGCATCCTGAGGTGGTTTTGCCAGCTTCATATGACTGAAAGGAAAACACTGACATTTGGACTGGTGTGACGTTCTCTGGCTGTACTGTGGTCTTTATGTGCCTGCCTTTTTTACTGCCTGAAGAAGGAAGGCTATGTTTGGTTTAAATTCTGAAAACTGTAGAAACATTTGCTAGCTGTGGGTAACAATGGTTAGATTTGAAGAACCAGATATCTGAGGATTTTGTTTCTTCAGCCTCTGTTGGAATCAGATGAGAGAAAGTTGCAAGACCCCTAAGCACAGTCATGGCTGCAGACTACATACAAATGAATCCCACCTACTATACAGATACCCTTTGTACTTAAAGTGCTACAGAACAGTCACACAAGCCTTGATTCTGCTGCAGAATTTGCTACCAAATCCCACGCTTACATAAGGACTCTGCAGAGCTCAAACCTCTGGTGCTTCATATTGTTAATCTTACACTTAGGAAAATGGCCTAGTCCTGCATGTCTGCAAAGTGGTTCAATACTGGCTGACTTTCCAATGAAATGTGAGCAGTTTTGGTGAGCGTGAACTTCCTTGCTTTTATGTAATCTCTCTTGGCTTTTGTAAAACCTGTTCACTGTTTCCCTGCTGATCATTAGGCACCACCAACTGAAATTCGTATGCAGTGACCCTTACGAGTGCTTGAATGCTTGACAGAATTAGGGCATGACCTTTGGAAATCACTGGGGGGGAGAGGGTTACTCCATTTGAAATCAGCAGGACCTGTTGTGCCCCACACTTCTAAAAATAAGATTGTTGCTGTCTGTTGTTCTGAGTCTGTACTTGAATGTATCTGAGAGACGGCTGCCTCTCTTGGGCTGAGAGGGTGTAGTATCTGATGGGGCTTTAGAAATGTAGGCCCTGAGGAGTGTGAAGGTGCCACAACACACAGCTGGGCAGGCCTCATGGATGGGTTACATGAAACCAGTGCACTGAAGGAAAAGAAGTTGTCAGGCCTGCTCTGAGCCCCAGGCAGTCATGGCTTGGGCTCTGCACTAGTGCTCTGCTCAGAGCAGATCCCTGCAGAGGATCAGCATGGGCTGAGGAGGAGCTACCTGCCCAAACCATGTCCTCAGGGGCCAGGAAGGTGGGAAGGCTTTTCCAGGGTGCACAGCCATGGCTGGGAGCGCTGGTTTCCAGTTCCTGGCCTTTTCTTCTATCTGTTGAAAAGGTGAGCAGAGAAATGTGTTTCAGCTTTCCTGAGCAGCTCTGTACCAGAGGCAGAGCAGCAGCATGCTCTCTGCTTCAGCCACTGCTGCCCATGTCTTCTGCAGGCCCGCATGGGGACTGTTAGGTTAGTGTTTATGCTGATCACGCTGTGGGCAGAGCTTATTAAATTTTTCATTAAGATGTGACTTTCATGTAGGTGACAGAATGGGGGGTATGTTAGGCAAGCTGTGAGGGAGCAGTGCTCGGCAATGAGCAAAAATCAAACAGCCAAGCAATAAAGCCTAGCACGTTTGTGTGAGTTTCCCACCACAAGTTCTACATTGCCTGCCCTGCCAGCAAACCCACTCCTTTGTCTCCAGAGCTCTGCTGCAGCTCATCTTTCACACTCCATAGGAGCTAGAGAGCTTGGGATGTTTCTAGCCTGACCATGGAGGGTCAGCACACACAAAAGCTGAGCTAAATTCAATTGTGCTATACACCCCAAGGGAATTCTAGTTCCTGTTTTGGTACTCAAAGTTTAAGATCCTTGAATAAAGCTTGACTTGGTCATTACCCCTTTTGCAAAAGAGAACATCCAGATAATTGCTGTCCCTGGTGTGATGACCCACAGGTGGTCTATGCTGCTTCCAGGGGCAGGAGGAGTTCTTGTTCTTCAGTTCCAGGTGGAGTTCATGGAGAAGGCGAGGGGCGCATCAGTAGAACAGCTAAGGACAATTAAAATTGTGTTTCCCAATGGCAGTTGCAGTTTTGCTCAAATTTGTGTCTGAGTACAACTACTTGAACCAGCAGGAATGATTAAGCTTAACAGGATGCCAGTAAGACAGGCAAAATGCACTGCTTTTTTTGATGGTGGTTTTCTAGGACCTGTGAATCCTTCTAAAATGGCAGGATGGGCTATACATACATGTAGGAAGACCTCAACTACTTAGAAGTGACAGCTAGATCAATGACTACCTTGTTGTTTCTGCAATATGCTTTGCTGCTTAGGAAAGTTAAATCCAGTGAGATCATTCAACAGATCTGAGCTCTGATCAGTATGTTATAAAGATGTGTACTTACACATTACTTGTTTGCTTTGCAGCTCCTGGTTGCTAAATCCCCTGTTGCTCCATTCTCTGCCTTTTTCTACACTATTGAGAAATCAGGCTTGGTTCTTCAAGGTAAGACCAGAGCATTGATTGTTTTGCCTTTTCAGTTAGTATTTTAAGCAGGCTGAATGTAGGTAACAGCATCTATGGCCGAAAATGTAGCTGTTTATACCTGATTAAAAACTCTCACATTTAACAGTCTGGCTAACAAGGGCAGCCCTCTGATACACTCACCGTTTCGTCGTGATTATACTAAATCAGTTGTTGCATATTCCAGTGGATCTAAGAATGGGCCCTGAAATTATTAATCAAGGCTCCCTGTTTTCCTGCAAGGTAAAGTAGAATGGTTCTGACAGCATTGCCATTGGATAGATTTCTCCAGCAGAAACATACCTATCTACCATCAATAACCTGCTCTAATAAATGGTTATTCTTTAGCAAATGGCTCAACATCAGTGAAAATACAAAAAATTAGTACCTGTTCTCTATTTTTGTGATTAGCGTTTTAATGCTAATGCCCCACGTCCCAGATTCTCTGGGATATGAGGTAGTGTACTGAAAAGCTGTATATTACTGCCATGATGTCAAGGAACTAGGGTTCCATCTGGCCATGTCCTAATCCATGTACTTTTAGACCACAGCAAAAGGGAAGTTCAGCCCTTCCCCTTTTAAACCCATTTATCCCAATAAGTGTCCCTTTAATGCCCCTACTTTTTGATAGACATTCATAGATCAATTTTGTTTAGTTGCTGTCTGTTGATATGCAGCCTGGCTCCTGATTGCTGTATCAGTTCAGCAGTCTAAATAAAACTAGTCAGCTCCTGTCACTTTTTGTTCAGAGGATATGCTCTGATATGCAGCCATGGCATTAAAAAAAAGCATCGCTATTTCTGAGGTCCCTGATCCCATAAAGCACCTTGAACATTTTAAGGTATGCAGACAGTTCCTTCTGATTGCCCATTTCTCACCTTCAGACAGGCTGTACCAGACCAGCAACATGTTTACTTTTACTAGTGACTGAATACACTTACATCTCTGGTGATACATAACATCAGAAAAAGGAAGAATCAAAAATATTTTTATGCCACATTTTTGCTTCCATTTGATACATCTACGTAATGATATTAGGGGGCTGAGGGTGTCCATCTGGTGTTTCCTAAGGGTTTAGGTACTATACCCAGCGTATTCTTAGATGGCATTTTGAAAATTTGATCTGGTTTATTTGTTACCAGTAATTTTAAAAAGGCTACAGGAACTACAAACAATTGTTATTAGTTTAAACTGAGATGGCTTGCTAGAGTTGGTCTAGACATATTTTGGTTCAGTATAGGGCAGAAGACAAGCTACTTTTCTATGTTGAATATTTTCTGAGTTGCAGAGATGTTTCTCATCGTTATACAAAGGCAGGCAGTTTCCTGCTCTGTCCTCAGGCACTGATGTAAGTGAAACTTTGGGAAAGAAAGATTTCCAATTTCAGAAATGGGAAGCATTTGTTCAGAGAGGGTCTTTGTTTCAGTTCTCTTCTGTGAGACAGGACTATAGCTTTCCAAGGACTGAACCTTACCTTTAATGAACAAATGGGCCTGGTAACATGTAATGATGGTGGAGCAGGACTCTGATAGAAGGATAGCACTGTATTAGGAGTATGGGAATTGCTCTCTTCCCTGTATCTGTGTTTCTGGGCTACACATTTAAACCATCTTTCACTGTTTTTCTAAAATCAGGGGGGATACCATTCATTTTTTATTTCTCAAAGTAAATGCTGTCCCTATATCAAGCATTCTTTGTACATTTTGGAAGGCAGCTTGAAGCTCCTCTTTTCTACACCGTTATGTTTCCAGTTTAGATATTTTTCTCCATGATGGATATTAAAGATTACAGAGACTTCCAAGCACTTACACACAAGCCATCTGAGTTCAAAGTAAATATTGCATGTTCTCATCCCACATTTCAATTATCATTATTTCTATGGAAAGAGTAAGTGAGCAAATCACCTGGAAATGGCTGTTTCAGATAGGATGGAGAAAGGGGCACAACACTGCTTCATGCAAGAGTGGCTAGGTTTTTTATGAGAGTTGTAGGTGGTGCTTCTTTCCAAAGGGAAGCTGGACACGAGGTAAGATATCAGTAAGTTGACTGGCCATGAGTCAGCCAGTGAGGGAGTGTCCCTGTGTTGCTGCTTGAGAGACATTGTATAGCGCTAACAAGTGGAATCTGTCCCGTAGACTGATTGCAAAGGCAGCTTTCCCATTCAGGCTTTGTTGTTGAATTCAGTTGGTGTCAGGAGGTGATCACATTCAGGATGGCTGATGGGAACAAGTGGATGGGTGTGGGAACTGGTGAGAGACAGCAGCTGGCTGAAGTGCCCAGGATTCCTTCTTTTTACTCAGGGGGTCCCATCCTGGGACCATTAGCCAATAGGCCATAAACAAATTGATATCGGAAAATGTGGCTGGAAACTCCTTGATTAGGGAGGGTGAATGGGGAATGAAAGACAAAGTGAACGTGTGATTTAACAGTTCCATAAGCAATTTCCATTGTCACCTCTGAGGGATTAGGTTGTGTGGAATAGGCTAAAAATGAGGAGGAGCTCCCCCTCCCTTTTTGTTCTGTGGGCTGGAGGATAATAAAACGGCAGGAGAGGCAGTGCAGCTAGTTAGGGATTTCACAGGCTGCTATTTGATGCAGTTTAAGGAGCCCTTCTGCTATTGTTGCAGTTAAAATGGGAAGCGGAACTGTTCTCCATTTGCAAAAATCTCCAGCGTCCTCAGGAAGAAGGCTGAGAGCAAAAGGCTATTAAGATGGTAATGCTGCCCCATTTGGAGGAGTGTATCAAAATCCTCTTTGTCAATGTAAATCGCTGCTCTGTTTCCCTGGTATCTTTGCATCTCATGGCCTCAGTGCAAGAACAGAGTGTTTGAAGGAGACCCTAGTGAAGGCAGAACTGCTTCTCTTTTATTGTCAGAGGATTGCTCCAGGTTGCCCAAGGGTGCCACAGAGAAAACTTCTTTGCTTTTGTAAACTTGAAGTGTTTAGGGATGAAAAGAATCCATTTATTCACTCGTTCTTTTATTTCCATTTGCAGACTAGAAAAATGAAATTTGATGGTTGGAAAGCAAGATTGGCTAGTCAGAGATTTACCAAGGGAAGTCAGCCTTCATTATCTTGCTTTCATTGCTTCAGTATGCACTGTGCTGTGGAGGGGGTGGAGTGCAAACCAAAAAAAAAAGCCTTAATTGTCTTTATATTGCAATACGATGTCATGTAATGTACTGCATGCTGTACAGTGTGACTCTCTGAACCTGAATTGAGAATGCAGAATCTGTTTTATAGAGATCATAAACAGGAAGGCAGGAGCCTGGACCTAAACACTTCAAAATATTGAAAGTTTTGCTGTCTGCTTGTGTGTTCTGTTTAAGGACTTGCTGTTGCTTCCCTAATTCAATACACTAGGTAAAGTAAATGAAATGATACTCTTAAAAAGAAGAATAACAGCAAAAAAGCTACATTAAGGTTGCAAGTCACAAGATGATTTTTCTCATTGGCAGTGATATAATTTATGGTCTGGATTGGAAATCACTAGCTGGTAGTTCTCTTTCTGGCATATCAGTCAGAACAGGTTCTGGTCTGTTCTCCCCTTGTAGTTTCATCGATGCTGAATGTCACACATACCGGGTTAGGGCAGCTGAATTTGAAGATGCCACTCAGCCTTGCAAGCACATACGCAAAAAAGAAGATAGCCTGAATAAACTGACGTCAGTTTTAAGCTGTGTTCAGTGGGGCATTGTCCAAGTCTAACTTTAGAAGTAGCAGCATTCTAGAATATAAATAGCAAGCAACAGAGCCTAGCTATTAGCAACTGATAGCTGGGCTGTTTGTGGACGTAAATCTCATTCCATCTCACCTAAGTAAATGCCCTCTGTTACCAAGAGGATCGTGCTGCAAAAGAGGACAGGGAACATGGTGGCTAATTGCCAGCTGGAGGGTCTTTTCACTAAATGCTTTAACCAAACTGATTATCATTGCTCTTCACTGAAAGAGCTCAGAGGCACCGAAAACATAAGGCAAATAATACTAGTGAGCTAGGACTTGCTTTTGAGTAATGATTTATTTTCAGTTTCATAGGGTTTAAAGATGGGTGGAATCAGCTGTTCATCCAGACTGACCTCCCATATATCATGCATGTTTCCTTCAGATATGCGGTAACTTGTTACACTGAATCATGTCTTCTAGAAAGGCATTCACTTTTATTTGAAGACATCAAGAAATAAAAGTTCCTGGTTTGTCTTGACAGTGCTATCAGGTTTTAGCTACCTTGCTGCTAAGTACTTGTTCTGTATTTCAGGTTATAATTTGTCTGCCTTAGCTTTTGTCCTCAGTTCTTGTCATGACCTTCAGTGCTAAATAAAGCACTGTTGCTGTTAAATGGTTGCCATTTTGCATGAGTGTACTTGACATTAAGATTTATCCTCTTTTGTTCTTCCTTTTGAAAGAAAGTTATAACTACCTGGAAACTTAACCTCAAAATACCTGTGTCTCATGCTCACTGGCTTCCATCGCTACTCAAAGACAAGACAGAATACTTAGCATTGCTAAAGGGAAGAGTTAGATTCTTGTGTCATGAGGGCTGGATAATTAGTTGATTAATCCACCCTTTCTCCTGCCCTCTTTTCCACTGCTCATGTGTCTATGTGCACACAGCCATGCTCAGCTTGCCTATAATACCTTGTTGAAACAGGTAATTTCTCGTAAGTAGGAACAAAAAATATGTGGCACTCGGAAGAGAGTGTCTTAGGTTTTAAGTTTCACAGTACTAATAGTGGAGATATCTGGGAACAGCTAAATCTAGGGAAACCTTGGTACATTGTGTTGCATTTGTCACTAATGTAAGGAAGGAGACTCATTTTGATCTCAAAATAACATAGGGTCTGGGTTTGTCGTGCAGTGTGGCTAGCTGTCTCCAAATGCTATAACTAATTTATATGGCTGAAGCAAGTGAAAAGTGCCTCTTTTTATTTTGTAAAGGAAGGAGTAGTGAGGTAGAAAGGAAATTCTGAAAGAAAGAGCAGCAT